CGCGATGCGTTGGGGAGAGAGGGCAAGGATGTTGCGAGGTATGATGCTGGGTCGTGCCAGGCGCCGCTTGTGCCTGACAATTGGATGCAGGCATCGCATGGGGTGCCACTGGAACTGGATGGCGCGACCTCAGATGTCAGCCCAAATGCCCTCTACAGTTCTTCCTCCATGAATGTGGAGATAAGTCCGCCAGTCTTGGATTGGGGCAGGAGTAACCTGTATGCAGCCTCTGTGGCCTCCCTGACTGTGGTGAACTTGAACAATGACAGTGTCTTGCGTGTCTATGAGCCATTCAGCACTGATCCACAGTTCTATGTGTATGGTTATGAGGACCTGGTTCTGCAGCCCGGCGAAAATGCGTCGGTCACCTTCATGTTCCTGCCAAAGTTGTTGGGCTCTTCTTCAGCACATTTGGTTTTGCAGACCAATTTTGGTGGGTTCATCATACAAGCTAAGGGCATGGCTGTCGGGTCGCCTTACCAGATACTTCCATTGACCAGGATGGATGTTGTAATAGGTGGACACCTGGAGAAGAATTTGTCCATATACAACCCTTTTGATGATTCTCTCTATGTCGAGGAAGTGGCCGTTTGGATGTCTGCTTCTGAAAGCACAAAACAATCTTCTCATGTAGTTTGTCAGTTAGGCCCTCTGGATGAGGCAGTGGAGTTAACTTCTTTGAGCAGCAACTGGCATACAGCAAGCAGTACTGAATTTGGATGGCCAGTGATCCATATTAGGCCTAGTGAGCAATGGGAGGTGCTTCCTTCAGAAAGCAGCACTGTCATAGAGTTGAAATTGCAACCTATTTCAGAAGGCAAGGTGTTTGGTGCTATCTACATGAAACTGCGCAATCACACAACTGATAAGGTGGACATTGTTGTTATACCTATTGAACTAGAGGTACACACGCGCACCTACTATGATTCCACAAACTTGGTTTCTGTCACGTTTGAGCGAATATCATCTTGTGCTGGAAATGGGTCAATATATTCCCTTTCCTTACGGAATGATGCAACAGAGTTACTGAAGGTTGTGAGTATAACTGGGGATAACAGGGATGGCCCGATGATCTTTCAGTTGAAGTACTTGAATGGCTTGATACTCTTCCCTGACACTGTAACAGATATAGCTTTGATAAGATATACTGCTTCAGTTCCAAAGGGTATTTCATTTGACAACTGCAATATAGTGGTCGAAACAAACAGTTCCCTTGGTAGTTCAATTGTGATACCCTGCCAAGATATAATGCGTGCACCTATTTCTCATACAACCAATGCCGTTGTTGCTGATTCTGATGAGCCATTTGCTGAATCACATTCTGAAGAGACCTCTGCTAACTCAAGGACAGGATCTTTGGGCAGCATCATAGAAACAGAAGGCCCGCATAACATGAAGGTAATATAAAACCTTGTGCTGTTTCAGTTGGTCTTACGTGTTGTTCTCCTAGCTGGACTAGGACCTGTTTTGAAGCATTCAATGCTTACAACATAATCTATGCTATGAACCCAGTAATGAATAATGATATCACTCTGTCATGTGTTACCCTGTTCATTAATTTCATCAGCCCAGCATATCATTTTCTCTTTAAACCGGTAAAGTTAATCTCATGCAGGCTGTAAATTCATATTGGTATGTTAACCTTACTGCTTTAATGTTTTCTGTAACACATGCCATTATCGCGTTAAAGAAAGTTTGTAAGGCCTTTATTGTGGTTGTCATTAGTCTTAACCATCTGTTTGGAAGAATAAGCAGGGGAATAGAGAAAAGCAGGCACATTATGCAATCTTGCTCTCGTTATATATTTTACGATAGTTTAGTATTGATCTCGTATTCGACTGTCATAGATATCAATAGTTGGTAACTCTTTGCAAACTGCTAAATTGTATCAAGTATTTTCCACCTGTATGCATTTAAATATTTTTGCTTTGTAATATTCTCATACAATTTTGTAATATAATTTGCAGCCAACAATCGGGGGAGCGATCAGAGCAGATGACATGGTACTTAGGAATTGGAGATCTCATGGAACAATGACTGGGATTTCTGTTCTCACAAATCATGAGTTGGTGTTTCCTGTCGTGCAAATTGGATCACAGTTTTCTGAATGGATAACCGTCCATAACCCAAGCCAGCAACATGTGTCCATGCAGCTGGTACTGAACTCTGAGGAAATCATTGGCCAGTGCAGAACTGTAAACGACGAATGTGAACACACTTTCTCAAGCAGATCTCCAGAAATTGACTCAACAGAGACCAGATTTGGCTTCTCATTAGGTAGCAAAGCAATTACTGAGACCTATCTTGGTCCTTTGACAAGCGCTGTACTTGGTCCCATTGTTTTCCGCCCTTCAAATCGGTGCATGTGGTCAAGCATGGCTTTGATTAGAAACAATCTGTCAGGCTTGGAATGGTTACCTCTTCGAGCACCTGGTGGCTGGCAATCTATTGCCCTTTTAGAGGGACCTGAGGCTGTTTGGAAGTTAGAGTTTAACCTTGGTTCTAATCTTGACGACAACTCAACACTGTCCAAATCCGAGATCCCCAGCTCTTCGTGCAGTCAGCAGTTGTCCAAGGAGATACATGTTAAAAATAGTGGTGACCTTCCTCTTCGAGTCACAAAGGTGAAAGTTTCTGGAGTTGATTGTGGTTTGGATGGATTTACGGTGAACAACTGCAAGGGGTTTAGCTTAGCGCCAAGTGAATCAATAAGAATGCTCATTTCTTTTAAAGCTGACTTCTCTTCAGTTAAGGTTCAGCGAGATCTTGAGCTAGCTATGACTACTGGCATCTTCGTAATCCCTATGACTGCAAATATTCCTGTCTGTATGCTTAAGCAGTGCAAAAGGTCTTACTTCAGATCAATCCATTGGAAAGCATTGATACTCTTTTTGGGAACTGTGTCCTTGTTTGTTGTGGTCATTGTTCGTGGTGCCCCGTATTCTTTGTCAGCGAACTCTCAAGACTACTATGCCAAGATTGCTGACAGGAAAGATACCATCAGTAAGACTGTTAAGCCCTCTTTTCCTCAGGGTAGTAACAAAACTTCCAGGTAAAAATTTGATCAATATCGTCCTTTTATCACATTTTTCCAGTATCAGATGATTTATGTTTGACCAATTATGCATTGTTGACAGGCCGATAAGGGAACACAGAAAAGCTGAAGAAGCTCCTCCTGAGAAATGCCCTCCTAGTACTCTTGATAGCCCCCGAAAGAAAGATGACAAGAGCAATGCAGATAAACAACAGAGTACAACTTCAGCTATATCTGTGTCCCCAACTAATCCTGTGGAAGACAAGGTATCAACGGAAGTTACAGAAACTAGCGGGAACCTTACTATCAGAGTTGCTAGAGAAAAAGGGAGGCGAAGGAAGCGAAAAGTTGGCGGCGCAGGACTGGCAGCAAAATTTGAGGTTTCTAGCAGCCACAGCGGGAATTCAACACCATCTTCACCGTTGTCACCGAGTTTGACCCCTAAACAAGGCTGGTCCTTTTCTGGAGCATCATCTGAACCGAAGCACAGAAACAAACTCGAGAGTAGACTTGATGTCGAAGCAAGGGCACCATTAACTGGGAATAACAAAGTGAAGAATGGCTGGTCCCAAACTGCCAAGCAGCAGCCACCCGCACCTCCAGCGACATCTGTAAACCCATTGGCTTCATCCACTGCACTGACCACAGCATGGCGCTCGCCATTGTTGGCCTCATCTTCCCCAATTGCCCCGCATGCTCGTGCTCCCGGCTCCAACCTGATGAAAGACAAGGCTGTGAAGAGAGATGAGGGTGTCACTGCACTGAAGAAAGAGTTCACTTATGACATATGGGGTGATCATTTCTCTGGACATCTGCTGGGGAAAGCAAGGGAGGTCGCACCGGGCAAGGTGTTTACTGCTTCTGAAGGGTCCTCCTACAGTTTCTTTGCAAGAGAGCCTCAGGCCCTCATGATGAAGCAGCCGTCTGCGCCACCTGACTCTCGTGGCCGCAGATCGCTGCCGTCTGATGTAGCTTCTGGTTATGCAATAAATTAAGAAGTTGAAAGTTGAACCATTTGGACTCTCGCGTCTCTCCTCTGCATCTTGTATTCCTGGGCTCTGCCTTTCTACTAACTGCACTAACTGCACTACCATTCCGGGGCTTTAGAGGCTTAATTACTCTAATTAGGGCAATATAAAATGGAGAGCAGACCAAAAAATGATTCATTTCTCACCACAAACAATATTTCTTAATTGTCAGCTAATGAAAATTAATCTGAACGAAAATCTACCCATAAACTTTTTAAAGTTCAGCTGCCCAATCTTCTTTTACTATGTTTGTCTGGGTATATTATGCAAGATCTAGCTGCAGTTTTGCTTGGTCGCAAATGCAATTCAGAGAATCAGGAACCATTCCAGTGCCACTGAACAAACTTGATCTGCCATTCTAACATTCTGATCTGAAGCTATTAAAGCTAGTTGATGTCTGATCTAAAGTTGAAGATACTAAAGCTGATATCTCACTTTACTGCCGCCGAATCAAAGACATTAGGTACTGGACATATATGCCTGTCTAAAGCAGGAGAGGTGATTGATGCTAACTAATCCTGTTTAACATGTGCAAAGGCAAAGGGCATACATTTTTTCTTGCAATCTCCACTTCTAATCATGTTCTGTTTGTTCCCATTAGTCACTAGCACAGAAGTTCTCCCCCCCAGAAAGGATGATCGACAGGTGCTTCTTGAAGAACATCATAACATACATTTTCCCCCCCTTCTTATGTTGAAATCAATATGCCACTGTGCCAGTGGCTGATTTACTTGCAAGGAGTGATTGAAGCAACTCAGAGTTCTGCTGGATACTCAGGGGTCTACTAAAGCTTTACAGCACAGGACAAGGACGGGGAAAAACAGCACCCGCAGGTAATATCAAAAGAACCTGTTCTCTTATTATGCCACACTATACTATATATAACAGAAGCCAGTCTTCTTTTAGATTACACACATCATCCAGCGCACTCAAACTGTTTATTCGATGCAGCGCGCGGTTCGATTCAGGACCTTGTTGCGACCAACCATCACTTTGCTTCGGATAATTTCCAGCCAATCACTTCGAGTTGTAGAGTGGTAATCTGCAGCACACACAAGTCATATGATGAATGCAATTTTCTCAGCTCAATACCGAATTTTTACTCAGCAGTAATTCATATGGCATTTCAGACTGGACATGGCTTCTGGTACAGATGGCTGCCTTTGGCAATAACTCACCCGAGCCTGAGAGAGGTATCGGAGCTGTCCTCGGTGTCGAGGGGAGGGCGCGGATACGACGTGTTGGTGACGGACTCAGACGACTGTCCTTCCTCGTACACCACCGGTGAATCAGCGGCGACTTGCATCTCCATCTTGGACGCCTGCAGCTTCAGACCATTGCTCCATCACAAACGGAATGTCCAGAAATGGAAACAACACGCAGGAGAGGGGGGAATAATATTTGCAGGGACTCACTTGCTCCTTTAGCCTTGCGTTTTCCTCTATCAGCTGCACCCTCTGTTCAACAACACAGAGCGGCATGTTAGCGAAACAAACATCGAAAACCGGTGAGTTTGAGCTACAATTTCTCTGAAGTTCCACACACGAATATTCAGGTCCTGGAGGCACAAAGTTCTTACCTTTCTTTCTAGCTCGCTGATCTGGTCCATGATCTTTTGGCTCTGCATTACGGAAATCATCGTCAAGGTGTGGAAAACTAAGACCATAGCTAGATAGGTTGATGTTGTCACGCACGCCTACCTTGGTTTTCAGAACAGAGCCGAGCCCGGACTCGAGGCTCTTCTCTAGAGCCTGAAGCTGCTGGACGTTCAGGCTCTGGAGCTCCTCTCCTCTCATCTGCCTGCAGGAATGAGATAGCACATATCAAACGACTACAACAGCTGAACTAGTTGAGGATGCATAAGTCTTCACGTAAAGTTAGTGAACTATATAATTTATATTGGAGTAAAAATCCATCAAGGACACTCATATTGGAGCATATGTTATTCTGAGATTCCTATTCCTCCCTCGTGGCTACCCTCACGACAAC